GCCCGGCTGGCGGCGGCGGGGGCTCCCCGGGGGTCCCCTGGGCTTGGAGAGGGCGGGCGCCCCGACGTGAGGGTGCCTGGAGGGTGCACTGGGCACCCCGGGGGTGCTGGGGACCCGTAATGTTGGGGATGCTGGTGGACTTCCGCGGGGCTGGGGGTTCTGGGGGCTCCCTGGGGTCCTGGGGACCTATTCGGACTGCGGATGTTGGGAGGCACCCCAGGATCCTGGGGCTCCGCAGGGCTAGGGGTACTCTGGGCTCCCTGGAATGCTGGGAACACACAGGGTTGGAGGTGTTGCTGGCTCCCTCGGTGCTGAGGACCTGCAGGGCTGGGGGTTCTGAGGGCTCCTCGGGGTCCTGGGACCTACACAGGACTGGGAGTGCTGTGGGCACGCTGGGTGCTGGGACCCACAGGGCTCGGGCTGTGACAGCCCGGGCTGCTGCAGGCCCCTCTGGAGTGCTGGAGAACACAGGGGTGCTGCGGGGTTTGGGGTGCCCCCTGTGTGCACATGGAGAACCCACCCTGGGGTTGTGCACGGTGCTGTGTGTGTACCCCAGCTGTGCACCTGGGCACCCGGGGTGTGAATTTAAACACTTCATCCCTGAACCCCTCCTGGCAGCAGGGCGAGCCCAAGCCATCACTGCTGACCCTGTGTGTCGTCAGCAGCCTCAAGGGAATTGGGAGGTGTTGGTGGAAGGTGCTGGTGGGCAGCTGCCACGAGGGTGCAGGGCAAGGGGTTGATGGTCTCTGGTGGAGTTGAAGGGACCCTATAACACTATGGGTGTGAAGGGACACATAGAGCTGATCCCCACGTGGGTAAGTCTGTGTATGGATTCTACGCCTGTGGTGTGTGAGCTCAGGGAGGTCTCTGAGGGCTGGAGCGGGTGCAGAGCCTGGGCAGCCCCTGTGGCCTCTCAGCCAACCGGGCTGGTGATGACGACACTCCAGAAATAACAGTCCAGCCCTGAAATTACGCTGCTGAGAAGATCGAAGTGTTTCCCTTTCCCTCCCTGGGTCAGCACTGGTGCACCCACCCACCTGGGATCCGGCTCCTCTGAAAGCAGCCCCAGCCTGGACAGCACAGCCAAAGTGGCCTGGGCAAGTGGGCACAGGCTGTCACAGAGCAAAGGCCCTCCCGTACAGCCCCACAGCAGGGGATGGGGATGGGACAGGGACGGGAAGGTGGGATGAGCCCCAGATACCTCCTGCTGCATCCAGCCACAGACTCTGCAGGTGACGGGCACGCGTGACAGCTGGCTCCATGTGAGCAGCCCCAATCCCAGCAGGTTGCTGGCACTGGAGGAAGCCGTGTGCTTGCTCACTGGTTTCCCTTTAACTCTGGGACAGCCACAGCCCCGAGGTTCGGGGCTTATCGCCTGCGCACAGCTCCGAGGGAAGCGTGCCTGGCTGAGATAAATCAAGTCATGCTGGCCAGGGCTGCTCTGGACTCTGTTCTTCTCACATTCCTCATGACCTCAGCCTTCTGGCTCAGGAGGAGAGCCGGGGAGAGCCCTCCCTGTGTCCAGCCCCAGCCCCACTGTTGGAGCAGCCCAGGCTGCACCGCAGCACGTGGCTGAGCTGGGCTGGGGGCTGCCACAGCTGTGCCCCTGGAGAGGGAAGGGGCCTGAAGAAGCCTGGAGCTTTAAGAACAGCTCTCCCAGGCCTATATCCTTCCAGCACAGGGACCTGGGGAGTCCAAGGGGAGATCACCCCTTAGACCATGAGGCCAAAGGTCCCAGGGGGCTGGCTGGGGCTGGGGCGTGGGGCCTGGATGGTACCTGAGCTGTGCCAAGGTGCCCAGCCTGCCCCATCCCTGACGTGGTTTTTTATTGTAATTGAGCAGAGCAGCTCCAGTTTTGGCCCCAGGTTTCCCGAGCTGGCATTGGTACAACAGCACAAGGGGAGAATACAGGTGTGAGCCCAGAGCAAAGCACAGCCCTGCCTCCGCAGGGTGGTTGGTTCCCTGCGCATCCTCCTCCTCTTCCTCTCGCTGCCAAGCCTCCACACCAGTGCTCTGCTTGTAGCATCCCGCTTTTCTGTGGAAACACTGGGGCTAGAAACAACGCTTTCATGGCTTCTGAAGGAAGCTGGGGTCATGCAGGTTCCCCTGTCTCTGGCCCTGGGGCGTCTGTGTGCCCAGCCCCTTCAGCACCCAGCCCCAGTGCCCAGGGGAGCGGCCAAAGCTCAGCCTTTGGCACCAACATGGCTGGTACAATTGTCCCTGCCACGACTTCAGCCCAGGTGGAAAGTGGCTGCTCTGAGCAGTGCCATGGTGGTGGCAGCCAGGCCCGGACGGTGCTGACAGTGGCTGGGCCGCAGCTGGGGGGACTCGACCTGCTGGCACACTGGGGCCATCTGCCCCCACTGCTCATCCTCCTGGCTCCTGTCCAGCCCCACACCTCCCACCCAGCCCAGGGAAAGTTTGCTAACTGGGGGTTCAGGGGGTGTTTGCACATCATGGGGTCCCTGGGGCGATTTGGACATGGTTGGGAGCTGGCAGGTCCCATCCCCTTGTTTCAGAGCTGGGTGAAAGCAGAAGCTTCTGTCCTGAGTCCAACCCATCCTGTCATACCAAAAGGAATGGGGGGCAGGAGCAGTGGAAGGGTGTCCTCCACATTTGGGCTGGGCGGTGCAGCCACAAGGCTGCTGGTGTCAGCTGAAGGGCCACAGGAGGTGGCAGGGGGAGAAACAGCCTGTCCCTGGCTCAGTGGAGGGGACAGCAGGGCAGTGCTGGTGCAAAGGGCACCTTTGCTGCTGGAGTGGCTCAGGAGGCCTCCAGGCCTCGGCAGAGGAGGCTTTTCCTGTCCCCAGGCAGGACAATACCCGGCCGGGCGGCGGAAGGGAGCTGCCGGCCACTTCCCCCGACGGAACGCACCCGCTGGCTCCGGCTCCTGTTGCTCTCTCTTCCTCCCGTTTGATTTACAGCGTGCGTGGAGCCTGGCGGGAAGTTTGTGCTGGCCCCAGCACTGTTTAATTACCTGCAGCAAGGGCCGTGCGGGGGAGGAAGCCCAAGGCTTCCCAGGGTGGGAGGGATTAGACGAGGTGGGGGATGTGTGGACCCTCTCAGGCACGAAGCCAGCAGCGTGGATGCCACGTGGTGGATGCCAGCATGGAGCCAGGATGCTCCCAAGGGAGGTGGAATGGGTGCTGGCTCAAAGATGGGATGATCCCCAGGAAGGTGAAAGTTGGGGATGTGGTTTGGCTGTGGATGGGTTGGCAGAGGGGTGGGAGAGCCCCAGAATCCATCCTGGAGACTGGTGGGGAGCATCTCATCCCTGCCCGGTTGGACTCAGCCCCGACGCTGTGCCCTGGGCTGAGGGTAGGAGGGTGACAATGCCCACCCAGCCAAGCCTGGCCCGGCACTGCCACAGCTGCTCCACTGGCTCCGTGCAGTCGGGGTGAGCCGTGGGGTGGCAGCCACAGTGCCAGGGCTGGGGAGTGGCAGCTACATCAGCATGAGCAGCAGGTGCAAGCTAGGGGCTGTCACATCGTCCCCAAGCTGGGATATGTGGCAGGGCCAGCCACAGCATCTCTGCTAGAGAAGTCTGGCTTGTCATGGGCAAAGGATTGGGGGATGGATGCGGGTTTTCTGTGCAGCCAAGGCCAGATCCTGTGCCTTTCCCTTGGCAGCACTGAGCCTCAGGTTCCCTGAGGGCTGTGCCCAAGCTGCCATTCCTCTGCAGCATTCCTCCTCCCCTGCTTTCTTCCGAAAATAGCCCATTGCCAAATGCTTTGCCCACCAACAGCTGCTCAGCCCCATGGCCACCTGTGCCCTGTGGGCAGGGCCACCATGTCCCCAGTGCCCAGGGACCCTGATGCTGCTGCACAGCAGTGGTGGATGCTCCCAGGGTGCTGTTTGCCCCATCCAGCTCCCACCAGGGTCACTTCCCACCTGGGCCCCAGCACCTGGATGGTGCCAAATGCTGCAGCAGATGCCAGCTGAATGCTCACAGCTGGAGGCACCCCCAGCCATGAGCTCACCTCTGGACTGCAGCCGCATCCCACTGGCTCTCCTCCAGCATGCCCGTGCCTGGGCATGGGAAAACCAGGGTCCTGGGAAAACCAGGCTCCTATTTCAGTCCCTCCTGCCTTATCACACATTATCGACAGGGAGAAGCAGCCAGGTCCCTCCTGGGGGTCACCCCTGAGAAAGGGATGGGCGGCGTGGGGCACCCCGGGCAGTGAGGATGGACCGATGGGCACCCCAATGGGTGCTGGCAGCTGCCCACAGTCACGTAGCCTTGCCAAAGCATCGATTCCCTTTATCCAAAGCAAACTTCCCTCCGAGAATTGTACCTGTGCAGGCTTCAGCCTCTTTTTTTTTCCTGGCCTGCTCCCACCGTGCGGCCGAGCTCCGGCTCGTGACTGCGCCCTCGGAGCTGGCAGCGTGGCCGTCCCAGCCAGGCTGCAGAGCATTCCTTAAATGTACAAACAATCCCGGCCCCGCAGGCAGCACCGCGCTTGCCCGGCTGCGGCTCCAGCACCAGCCCCGCGGCCCCGGCGCTGGGGGAGGCGAGGGGGGCCTGGCGGATGGCGAGGGGCGGCCACGGAGCCCTCCCCGGACAGGGGGCAGGGGGGTGTGGCCTCCTGGGACTCACCGGCCCCCGGGTCACAGGGTTTGGCTGGATGTGGCCTCGTTGTTGTTGCAGGTTGATGGTCCCCTGGTCAGCAGCATCCCGGGGAGAAGATGGCTCAGCCGGCACCCCTGAACCAGAACCTCCCAGGTAAAGGAAGCGGGGTCGTCACCGGGTAGGGACAGCAGGAGGAGCACGAGGGGGGTGGCAGGGCTGAGCTGTCCCATCCCATCCCATCGCAAGGAAATTCCTCACCACAGCGCCAATCCCAGCACGGAGTGGGACTCCTGTGACACCCTATGGCACCGAGGGTGCTGGGGGCAGACACATTGCACATCGTGGAGGGGAGGGGCCTGCAGGCAGCAAGTTCCAGTTGGAAAGGCCTTCCTGTCTCCACCAGGTCCCTGACTAACTGTCCCTGCTCCTCTTGCAGATCTTGGGGGCCCATTCTTGTACCGGGACCAGGACGACGGGGAGAAGAGCTCATATTCCGTGGAAACCCCCTATGGCTTCCTGCTGGACCTCGATTTCCTGAAATATGTCGATGACATTGAAAGTGGCCAAACGCTCAAGAAAGTGCCGCTGCCTCGCAGGGCGAAGGGGTCTCGTCTGCCGCCCAGCGCCCTGCGCAGCCCCAGCAGCCACACCAGCACCTGGACCTCCACCGAGTCCCTCACCTCCACCGCCAGCGAGGACGGCAGGACCGCGCTGCTGCTGTCCCCGCACGGCCGGGCACCCCTGGAGCCCCCGAGCAAGCCAACCTCCCACCCCGTCTCGCCACCACCGGTGCGGCTGCTCCCACCCCCCACCCGCAAGTGCCTCCTGCGAAACCCACGGGTGGAGAAGACCTTGCTGGAGACGAGCAGGAGGCTGGAGCAGGAGCAGGGCCACTTGCAGGATGCGGGCGGTCCCCCCCGCGGCGCCCTGAGCCAGCCACCCCGCTGGGTGCCGGCGGGCGCCGAGGGGCAGGGGGGCTGGGGCCGGGTGAGCCCCGGCAGCTCCGGGCGCAGCACCCCGGCGGCAGGGCTCGGCACGGCCCCGCTGCAGCACGTGCGGGAGCAGATGGCCGCGGCCCTGCGGCAGCTCCGGGACCTGGAGGAGCAGGTGAAAACCATCCCCCTCCTGGAGATGCAGATCTGCGAGCTGAAGAGGGAGAAGGCGAAGCTGCTGGAGAAGCTGTCGGCAGAGCCTGGCGAGGCGTTGGACCACCCCCCTGGCTCTGAGGCAGGGGCAGGGGGTGAGGAACCGCCCCGATCAGGGCTGGAGAGTGAAGCGGAGCCAGCCAAGGGGCGAGCGAGCAAGATTGCGGAGCTGAGGAAGCTGACGGAGAAGCTGGCGGTGCCGGAGCGGGGAGTCAGGGCTTGGCCAGGCAGGAGCCCCAGGGTGGCTGATAGGCTGTGCCGCTCCGTGGCGGTGGGCGAGGACCGGGCCATGACAGATGCCGTCTTCTACTACCGGTCGCAGCAGGAGGGTGGTGACACACCGGATGGCGGGGCACGGGAACGCAGGGATGCGGCTGTCTGGGTGCTGGAGTCATCGCTGGGGCTGGCCAGCGAGGCGGAGCGGGAGCTGGAGCTGCTGCAGCAGACGGTGGGGCACCAGAAGGAGGTGATTGCCCTGATGGAGGGGCACCTGCAGGAGGCCACGCGGGAGCTGGAGGAGCTGCGGCTGGAGGTGTGCGCCCGCCGGCCCCGCGGGCTGGTGGACAAGGAGGTGACGGCCAAGCCGCAGGTGGCCGAGGCGCTGGTGGAGGCCGCGGTAGCGACACAGAGCCGGGCAGCCGGTGACCCCCCGGATACGGCGGAGGCGGGCGTGGAGTGCTGCCCCCCGACCACCTGTGTCGGGGTGAGCTGCCGCCCCGACGGGCGGGACGTGGCGGTCGGGCCTGACTCGGCTGCCAGCTGCAACGACAAGGGCAGCCAGACCGACGTGGGCAGCGTTGTCCTGGTGGGAGGACAGAAGGAGCCTGGTGCAGGCAAGGAGGCAGAGCCTGGGGGGGACAAGGAGGTGGAGCCTGGTCCAGGCAATGGCCCGAGCAGCCTTTCAGTGCAGGGCATGGGAGCAACGGAGGGGATGTGCCCAGGCAGCCTGGCCCCCAGACCAGCTGTGCTGGACATGACACACAGCAGCCAGGAAACGTCCCCAGCACGGGACAGTGGAGCCACCCCAAGCCCTGCAACCGGTGAGTCGGTGCCTTGGATGACACCAGGGTCTGGGTTGGGATGTTCCTGTGGGAAGGGAGAGGATGGCCCTGTTGGGGACAGTGCCTGCAGGGCCAACACTACCTGCAGCTGCCCATGTCTCTTCCATACCCGCCCTGGGGTCTGGTGGGTTTGGGGTGCTTGGCCAGCCTCAGGAAGAGACTATTTACAAGAGCATGTAGTAACAGGACAAGGGGGAATAGTTTCAAACTGACAGAGAGTATGTTTAGATTAGGTGATACTAGTGAAAAATTCTTCCCTGTGAGGGTGATGAGGCCCTGGCACAGGTTGCCCAGAGGAGCTGTGGATGCCCCATGCCTGGAAGTATTCAAGGCCCAGGTTGGAGGGGCTTGGAGCAAGGTGGTCTAGTGGAAGGTGTCCCTGTCCATGGCAGGGGAGTTGGAACGAAATGATCTTTGAAGTCCCTTCTAACCCAAACCATCTTGTGATTCTAAGATTCTAAGATTCTTACTCACTGGCCCCTGACATGCACCTCTTTGCCCGCAGGAGCCCTGAAGTCCATCATGAAGAAGCGGGATGGTCCCCCCCGCAGCGAGGCAGAGGGCAGCAAGAAGAGCCTGCAGTTTGTGGGCGTGCTGAACGGGGAGTACGTGCTGAGGGGGCTCCTGCCACCCCCATGAGCCAGTCCTGGCCCCAGCATCCCTATCCTGGGCTGGGGGCACTGACAATGGCAGGGCCTGGAGGGGACCAGCCAGGTGCTGTGTTGCCACCCAGGATTCTCCCTCTGTGCAGGTATGAGAGCACATCCAGTGAGGAGGAAGAGGAAGAAGGTGACAGCTCCTCTGAGAAGGGTTTGGGCGACAGCTCTGACAGCTCGGAGCAGGGAGACACCGAAACCTCGGAGGAGGAGGCCGGGGAAGGCGCGTGTGAGACAGGACAGGAGTGTCAGGGGACTGACGTGGCCCTGCCAGAGCCACCCGAGGTGAAGGAGAAGTAAGTGCTGATGGGAAAGGCTCCCTGGCCCTGAGCAGCTGGGAGCCATGGGCTGGCACTGGCCCTGCTGGCTTGGGGCATCTGCCATGGCTTCAGTGCAGCCGATGGAAAAAACACATTCAGCTCCTGCAGAAACCATTCATCAGGGAACAATGCTTCCAGCTTCTTGGGTCTGCTAAGGAAAGGACAAGAGGCCCCAGATGCCTCTTTGCTGCAGAAGATAGTTTGGAGGGGGACAAAAAAAGCCAACAGTCCTCAATGGCATTTTTCAACAAAAGGAAAAAATTTGGCCTAAGAATGGGTAAATCGTGCCCGAGCACATCCGTATAAGGCTCCGTTCTGCGGAGGTTTGCAGAGGCTGAAGCTGCCAGGCTGCAGCCACCGGGCTGGAGGTTGTGCCTTGGGGAGCTTGTGGAGGCTCACAGGCACTGGGGAGCTCCATGGGGGGACTCGGGGTGCCCCACCCCAAGGGTTTGGTGGGGTGATGCAGACCTCTACAGAGATGCCCCCCTGCTCTCCCCAGGTTCGAGCTGAGCCCCAGGATGCGGGAGGCCTGTCTCATCGTCAAGACCCACCTGGGCCACCCCGGTGCCACCAAGAGCAAAGAGGTGGTGAGTGAGTTGCTGGGGTGGCTCACCCAGCCCCTGCCAGCATCCCCCCAGGGCTGGCCCTCCCCAGAGAGGGGCCAGCAAAGCCTGGCTCAGCACCTTCCCCCCAAATACAGCCCTTTGCTCCAGGCTTTGTCCCAGATACCCCAAAACCTTTGTGGACTCAGCTCAGGCCATCCCAACATGGGTTTGGGGGGTTCAGGGTCTGGCCTTCACGCAGCCCCCTCTGGAGCAGGGATTCTGCTCCCCACCAGGCCACCGGTGGGGGGTGGGTGCAGGGTGGCCCATGCAGAGGCTTTGGGGGAGCCCCGGCCCCAGCTCAGCCCCTCTCTGCCCACAGCTGGCCAGCAGCAGCCTGGTCCTGCAGGAGTGGTTCCGTCTGTCCAGCCAGAAGTCGTCCGTCCCCGACACTGTTGCCAACCACCTCCTGGCGTTTGCCGAGGTCTCACCGGCTCTCCTGGCCCACGTGGTGAACCTGGCAGATGGGAACGGCAACACGGCCCTGCACTACAGCGTCTCCCACTCCAACTTCCACATCGTGCGGCTGCTGCTGGACACGGGTCAGTGCCCCCCACCCCTGGGCCATATCCCACATGGCCTGCCAGGCACAGGGGGAAGGTGCTGGAGCAGAGGGGCAGGGAGAACTGCCCGGGGCTGTGCCCGTGCATGGGTAGGGGGGTGAGAGCCTGGATTTCAAGGGGGGACCCATCAGCAGTTCTGTGCCCACAGGGCTGTGGGATGGCTTACAGCACCCAGGCAGGGCGGGAGCCAGGCACATAGCTTGGTCCATGTTTCCCACCAGCCCTCCAGCATCCTGAGCCCCCTCTGCCCACCCCTGCAGGGATCTGTAACGTGGACCACCAGAACAAGGCCGGGTACACCGCCCTCATGCTGGCAGCGCTGGCGGCTGTCGAGCAGGAGGACGACATGAACGTGGTCCGGAGGCTCTTCAGCATGGGCAACGTCAACGCCAAGGCCAGCCAGGTTGGCACGGGCTGGGGGCCACCACATCCCACCCCTCTGCCCACACCCCCAAGCAGCTGCCAGAGCTTGGCTCCTCCAAGGGCAGGAGCTCTAAAACCTGGAGGGGTCAGCACATGGGGAGGGCATCACCTTAGGAGCTCCTCCTGGCTGGCACAGAGCTCTCGGCAGCGGCCCTGCAGGGCAGGGGGCACAGGCGGGTGGCACAGCAGGGGCAGGGGTGGCCTGGCAGTGTCCCTTCCCTGCAGGCTGGCCAGACTGCGCTGATGCTGGCTGTGAGCCACGGCCGGCAGGAGATGGTGGAGGCCCTGCTGGCCTGTGGGGCCGACGTGAACCTGCAGGACGAGGAGGGCTCGACGGCGCTGATGTGCGCCTGCGAGCACGGCCGCGCCGAGACCGTGAAGCTGCTGCTGGCTCAGCCCACCTGCAACGTCTCCATCGTGGACAGCGTAAGGCTCTGCCGCCGGGCTCGGGCAGCCCCACGCCGTGTCCTGTCCCCCCACCCCTTCCCACGTGCTCCTCCTTCCTTTCTAGGATGGCAACAGCGCCGTGGCCATCGCGCTGGAGGCCGGTCACAGTGACATCGCTGCGCTCCTCCACGCCCACCTCAATGGCACGAAGGCTCAGCTGCCCGTGAGTACCACACCACTGCCCCGGCTCCTGCCACGGCCCACACTCAGGTGGGCAGGGCGCCCCAGGGGAGGGGACAGGGCCGTGGCACAGGTGAGGGTCTCCAGGAAGGGGCTGCAGGAGCACGAGCAGAGCATTCCAGGTGCCACATGCTCAGAATAGCCCTGCTGGCCCCGACCAGGAGTCACTGGAGGGGTCTCTGGTGACGTTTTGTGACCGCTCTCTCTGCAGCAGGCGACATCACCGACAGCCACGAAGAGCCCTGGGAGTCCAAAGAAACCAAATTAGAGTGACCTTGGGATCCAGCCAGCGGCCACCATCAGCACTGGGCTGCGATTCATGTCCCCTCGCCTCCCACCCCTCTGTGCCAAATTGCTCTCTGCAGCTTTAGTCCTGTCACTAGCGCTGTCCCTGAGCCTCCCTCGCCCTTCTCCACCCAAACGTGGCCACCTCGCTGCACCAAGTGACAGGAGCCAAGCATCAAGTGACCTCGGGACGGGACATGCAGGGAGCAGAAGTCACCCCATCCCCTCTGCTCCCTGCCATGACCACCACAGCTGCACTGCCTCGGAGCCCTCTGCAAGGAGGGAACAGCAGAGAACAAACCCAGCAGAACCAGCCCCTGGTTTGTGCTCTCTGGCAGCAGTGCTGGTGACACAGAGCCAGGAGGGCGAGTGACACTCCTGGCCCTGAGCAGGGTCGCAGTGCTGTGCAGGATGTTGGGAAGAGGGGACACCAGCTGGTCAACGCTGCCTTGGATGTGGGCTGGGAGCACTTCCAGACTGACATACTTGCTGCCCTTCTTTTCTGGCATTTCCTTTCCTGGCTGAAATCTGTTTTTTTTTTCTTTTTTCTAGCACATGCACACAAAGCAAAAAAATTATATTGCTTGGCCAAAGGATGGAGTTCCACATGAAATCACTCGGGATTTGTTCAATGGGAGCAAAATCTCTGAGCAGTTGGGGCTGCAGCCAAGTGACAGAAGGGGCTTAGGGCCAAGGATGTGTTTGGGGACTGAGCCTGTCCAGCTAATACCCCACATGGGGTCCTTCTCCCAGAGGAAAGAAAGCAATTGCCTCCTAAACATTTCCCCGTTTAACCAGTCCCACAGACTATGCAAACAGCCAGAGCCCACAGCCCAGTCCCTCTCTGCCCACTTTCCATCCCAAAGGGCAGGAGAGAGCTGAGGACAGTGTCAGGAAAAACAGATGGGCCAGAAGAGCTCAGAGCACACAGGTAGGGCCTGTGGAGGGGAACACGTACGTCAGAGAACGTGTGTCTTTGCAAGTGTGAGTGCAATGTGGGGTGGGAACAGGGTAAGGATAAGGACCAGGAGGAAAAAGGGTTTTGCGTGGGAAAGCAGCTCTGCTCTGAGCCCTTCACAAAGGTAACCTGTCACAGCCCCCATTCCTGCTCCTTGGCCCAGCCTCCCCCTAACACTTCTGCCCCTGCCAGGCCTGGTCTGAGCTGGGAAACATCCCCTAAAGAAACTATAAATCTCCCCCCCAAAACTCCCTCTGGGCACCACACTGCTGCCCTCTTGGTGGGCCCGTCTCAGCTTTGCACTGGAGTTATACACAGCGCTCACTGCCACTCTCTAATACACTACTCTGTTTACTGCTATTTTAATACTGGTGTTTATTTTTAAGATATAAATAAAATTTAAAGTTATTTTGAAATATTACAGTGACCACCAGCGGTCTCCTGCCTCCTTGTCATGATAAAGCCCCCGAGAGTTGCAGCGGAGGCACAGCCCCCACTCTGAGCTGGTGCCCCCACATTCCAAGTCATTCCCTTCAAGTTTATGCACTGACTACATCCCTCAGTCTGGTTTTCCTCCCACAGAACTGTCCCAGGCAGGTGCAGTGGTGTCTTTGCAGGAACAAGCGGGATAAGGGATCAGCCACAGCCCTTCACCACCCCTGGTTCTCTGTGGTGCTGCATCATTAAGGGCAATCACCAGACTTGAGTGTGGGGATGCAAATCACCTCCCTCCTCACGTGGACAGGGACCAGGCTGATCCCACAGGGATACAGCCCTGAGCCACCCCCACTACATGGTTTCCCTCTGTCTGACTGCAACTCACAGCTGGTGGCTCCCGTCCCAGTCATTCCACAGTCAGGGCTGGCAGGGGCCAGAGCAAACACTCCTGGGTCACTGCTGAGGCTGTGAGGGAACAAACAGCAGCCAGAGATGTAAACTCTGAGGACTTCTGGCACTCAGGGCCAGTTCTGAGCTCTGCTGTGTCCTACAAACCAGGGAGCACAGCCTTGTGTGGTGCTCTAAAACTGAAACAACCCCAAAAAATCAAGAACCACATTGAGCAACAGCGTGAGCACATTGACAAGGGCTTTCTCCAGGGCACAAAATTCACCTCAGGCTGCCCATGAGCTTCCCAGGGCACAACTAACACCTGGGAAAAATCCCACGAGTACTCTTAAACACCAGCCCTACAGCAATCATCATCTGCTCAAGTTTAGCAATCTGCACATCTGTCCCAGCAGTGCTCAGCTCAGCTTTAGAACACCCAGGCTCTCAGTCACACTACCACTGAACTGCCTCAGTCAAGCTCAGGACACTGCAGGACAAAGAACACTCAGAGATCACAGACCAGGGGCTGCAGACCTGACTTGGCTTAAACACACCACAAACCAGGACTACTCCAAGCTGACGGAAAACACCAGTCCTTAAAAACCAGCCCTTGAACCAGGACAGTTTTCAGGCTCATTCCTAAATTTTTCAGCCATACTTTTGCTTCGTGTAATATCCTAAAACAATAAATGTTGCTAGCTGATCTTGTGGTGGAGGGGAAAGCTGAAGAAAGTGAGATAGAGGAGTCAGTAAATCAAAGGGGAGAGACAAGCACTTGCTTTCTGCATGTGATTGACAGGAAGGACAGCAAGTAGGTGTATTTATAGCAGCATTCAGAGAACAGCTTACTGAGGACAGACAGACAGAAGCAGCAGGCTGTTGCTTTGCAAGCTGGTACCAAGCTTGATTTCCAACTTGTGATTAAATTCCACTGAGGTCCTTTAAGTTTCTGGCACCACTTCGCTATTACATACAGAAAACCGCTTACCAGGAAGGTCAGGATTAAGGCTGCTGTAATCAAAACATGGTTATTTTTGTTGTGACAGGTCAATAAAGATGCAATAACGCAACGATATTACAACGAATGCATTATGTGTAACCCCAGCAACAATCAGGGCGCGCTGCTGTCCCTGCTGAGCCCGAGGAAAGCAGCAGGTGCTCAGGTATGAGACAGAGCTCCCAGGCGCTCGCTGAGTGAGACCCGGGCACGGGGCTACTGGAAAAACCCTTTATTGCAGTGACAACACCACCACGCTCCGCCCCACCCGCCAGGCTCCATCCCCTGACGGACGATACAGGGACGGTCGACAGGCTCCATCCCCCGATGGACGATCCAGGGACGGGCGCTGGGGCAGGTCCCGCTCAGCGCAGCCGCCGGGCCTCGCGCTCCGACTCCAGCAGGGTGAGAACGTCTCCCTCTCGCACCGGGCCCTTCACGTTGCGGATGATGGAGCGGCTCGTGTCGTCCATGAACTCAACGCGCACCTGCGGGGGCGGCACCGCGTCAGCCCGGCCGGGCCCGGCCCCCGCCCCAGCCCGGCCCGGCCCGGCCCGCTCACCTGCGTACACTGCCCCTGGGACCCGGTCCGGCCCAGCACCTTGGTGACCTGCGGGGACAGAGCGGAGGGTCAGCGCGGCCCTTGGCTCCCCGAAGCTCCTCACACCCACCCCGGCCCCCCGATGCCCCTCACACCCACCCTGGCCAGCTTGATGGGCTGCACGCGGCTCGTGTCCATGGCGGCTCCGCGCGGAAAAGAGCGGCGCCTCCCCGCGCCGCCTTATATAGCGCCGAGTCTCGCGAGACCCAGCGCGCCTCGCGCGCGCGCGCTCCCGGCACCTCCCGCGGCGCTGCCCTTCACGGCGGCCCAAGATGGCGACGGCGACGGGAATCATCCAAAAGCTCCGAAACTTCCTGGCGGGGGTGAGCACAGCGCCGGGCCCGGGGGGCCGAGAGCAGCCCCTGCCCCGCGGGGCGCTGCGCTGCGCCACCGGCTCCTCGGAGCCCCCGGCGCAGCGCGGCGGCCGCCCCGCCTGAGCCGCTCCGGCCTTGCCTTGCCTTGCAGCGGAACCTCCAGGCGAAGCTGGCGCTGCGCTACGGGGAAATCTCCAAGAGGTGCCGGGGCCGGGCCGGGCGGCGGGCGGGGCGCGGAGCGGAGCCGGGGCGCCGCCGCTGATGCTCGGAATGCTCTCTGCCCAGGACCCAGCCGCCGCCGCGGCTCCCGGTGGGCCCCAGCCACAAGTTCGCCGATAACTATTACTGCGGCCGGGACGGGCGCCGCGAGTCGCTGCCGCCCGTGGTGGTGGTGGCGGCGCAGAAGACCCTGGCTGCAGGGGCACAACCCGGCAGGTAGGTCTGGCCCGGGCGGTGCTGTCGCTGCTGAGCGGGCTCAGCCCTCATTTACACCAGGAGCGCGGTGCAGAGTTACCCAGGTTGGTAGAAGAACGTGGAACTAATTGCTTGTGTCGGTGTCTCTTTGCGAATAAATGAGGTGGTAGGAAGTTCAGTTACTGTGCTCTGGAGCACCTATGTCTAGCTCTGGGGCATCCAAGAAAGATGTAGATATGTTGAAGCAAGCCCAGAGGAGGCCACAATGATGCATCAAAGGCTGGAGCCCCTCTGGAGACAGGTGGGAGAGCTGGGGGTGTTCACCTGGAGAAGAGAAGGCGTGGGGGAGACCTGAGACACCCTTCCAGTGCCTAAAGGGGCTCCAGAAGAGCTGGAGAGGACTTGGGACAAGGCCTGGAGGGACAGGACAAGGGGGAATGGTTTCCCAGTGCCAGAGGGCAGGATTAGATGGGATATTGGGAAAGAATTCTCCTCTGTGAGGGTGGTGAGGCCCTGGCACAGGTTTTCCAGAGCAGCTGTGGCTGCACCATCCCTGGAATTGTCCAGGACCAGTTTGGACAGAGCTGGGAGCAACCTGGGCTAGTGGAGTGTGTCCCTGCCCATGGACATCTTCAGTGTTCCTTCCAACCCAACCCAAACCATTCTGGGACTGTGACTAACAGACCCCTCCAGGACTACTCCAGCCTGAACTGATTAAATCTGAGTGTGATTTCCATAGAGTTACTAAAGCTTCTCCTCTCTCTTCTTTCCTCTACCACAGTTCAGACTCTGCAGTGACAACAGCGCAGAAAAAAGCAGTGACACCAGGACCACCACTTAGGAAGTGGGAGATTTCCAAGGACCAGCCCTACCTGTGAGCAGGGAGTGAGCCAAGGCTACGTGATGGGCGCAGGTGCTTCCAGAGCAGCTTCAGCAGGGAGGCTGTGGTGGATTTGGCTTCAGGAGTGCTGCAGGGAGCTGATATCTTACTAATAAATGTATTTAAAGCTGTGACTACACCCCTTTTCTGTTTTGTCTGTTCTGAGTTATTCAAGTTACTGCTCTTTAACTCCCATGTAAGGTTTGCTTGATGGAATAGCCACACGGCACAGGGATTTGAGCACAGGCTTGGGGGATTTGTGAGCTGTAGATGAGATGCCAGTGAAGAGCAGAGCTGAGTAAAGCACAGCCTTGCCCACAGGGCCCGCTGGTGCTCTGGTTCTGAAGGAAGAGACAAGTTCAGCAGCCTGGGGCACTCCCACCGCAGTCCCCTTGTCCTGCTGCGGCCACACGCTGCTCGGGTGCTGAGCAGCCCCCCCTCCCCGGGGACAGCAGGTCACGAGCCACCGCGGTGCTGATGGTTTTCCAGGGAACCGCGGGAGAGCGCAGCTGTTCCCGGAGCTTGGAGGGGTCTAATCCAGGCAGCGGCAGCTCCGTGCGCTGGCGCCGAGGGAGTGCTGGAACGGGCAGGGGCAGGCGAGGCGGGAGCGCTGCTTCGGGAGCGCTGTCCGGACCGAGCCGGGCCTGTCCCGAGGGTCCCTCCGGCCCCCGCTCACGTGACACCAGCCAGGACCCCGCCCACCCTTCGCGCCCCGCCCCCCGAGCACCCGATTGGTTGGTGGAGGGCGGGCCCGGGCGCACGCGCTCTGCATCCGTAGCGGCGCGGAGCCCCGTGTGTGCGGGCCCGCGGGCATGGCCGGGCCGGGGCTGCCGGGGCTGGCGCTGGTGCTCGCGGTGCTGCTGCCGCTGCCGCCGCCGCCGGGGCTGCCGCTCCCGCCGGAGAACGGTGAGTCGGGGGAGCGGCCGGGCGGGCGGCGCCCATTGGCTCCCCGCGCACGCCCTTCGCTCTCATTGGCCGGTGCCCGCGCGCGCCGTCGGCGCGGGCTGTGAGGGGGGTGTGTGCAGGGGCTTCCCCTCCTGCCCCCCCCCCGCTCCCCCTCAGCCCCTCACACCGTCCCCGCAGCTGCCCCGTCCCTCTGCCCCCCGGACCAGTTCCAGTGCGCGCCCGGCGAGCGCTGCTTCGCCCGGGACTGGCTCTGCGACGGCCACCCCGACTGCGAGGACGAGGAGGACGAGCAGGACTGCGGGACCGCGACCCCGGCGGAGCCGAGTCCCGGCGGCCCCGCGCTGACCTCGCCCTGGAGCTCGGCGGGGCCGCCCGCCGGCAGCGCAGGTACGGGGGGCGCGGGGCGGCGGAGCGGACGGAAGCCTTTGTTCCCCGCTGTCTCCGGCCTCTCCGGGGCAGCTGCGGGTCACTGTGGGTGGAGGAAGCGCTGCGGGGGACCCCCACGTTCAGCTTCCTCCGGTTGGGACGGCGCTGACGACCCCCGGGGCTTCCTCGGGAAGCGCCTTTGTAGGACCTGCTTCCTTCTTCCAGAACACGCAACCCCCAGCGGCTCCCTCCCAACGAGCCGGCGGCACTGGAGTCTGTCTGCCTCCCGAGCTCCTCTGATCCCTGGGGAATGGGCAGGCTGAGGAGAAGAGGATGAGGATGAGGGAGGCAGCTCTGGGCCGTCCGGTGTCCGGGCAGTGTCTGCACGCCCAGCACGGCCGGCGCCTGCTGCTCGGCTCCGTGGGGTGTCCTCTGTGCTTGGAAGTGCTGTTCTGGCTTCCCTTACCCGGGGGTTTCCGTGGTGTCTGGGAGCTGCAGCACCATGAGTGTGGAGAGGAGGGGCGTTACTGCAGGTGTGACAGGCTGGGTTTGGGTTTGGTGCCTGCACCAGGTCACTTGGCAGGTGGGGAGATGAGCTGTGTTTTGGTTGTACCTGTGGCCTCCCAGTGTCTTGAGGACAGGTCGAGATGCTGCAGCTCCAGCTGGGAAATATCCCAGCTTTCATTGTTAGCATTTCCAGTAGGACTTTTTTCCTCCAATGTGGGCTAATCACAGTGGCAGATAAATTGAAAAAGACCTTTTGGCACTCTTGAGGTGAGCTGGGAACTCAGACAGGTGTGGGTTGGAGGTTGCTTTGAGTGCTGATTGTAAGGTGAGTTGGAAGCCTGATGGACTTGTCTCTCTTTCCTCACAGAGGCTTCAGCTACTCCTGAGCCTGGGGTCTCTGTGCCATCGAGGAGTCAAGGTTACACGTGGATCTTGATTGTTGCAGGTATGTGAGACACAGAGTGCTGCACGTGGTCTTGGTCCTGCCATGGGCTATAAATTGAGTATCTTGATGAAGTCAATTCCAGACCTGTATAAATAGCTGCTTTTGCTGTGCTGGAAGGGCTGAGGGAGGCCTGACACCACAGTTAATTATTGCTCTGCCTGGGATGTGCTGTGTCCTTGGGAAGGCCATGCCATGCGATCTGACACTTACCCACCTCCTCTCTGTCTGTCCTTTGCCCTCAAGGGAAGCTGCTCATCTCTGGCTGTTGGCTCATGGTGTTGAGCAGCAGGGCCCAGTCCTGATGCCCAGAGCAGGGCAGTCAGTGAGTCTCTGCTTGTGCATTCTCCTCTCCAGGGCTCCTGAGCATCCTGGTAGCTGCGAGTTCTGTTGCTGTGTGGGGCCTGTTCAAAGCAAAAAGCCGATCTAACACTGTCAATCTCGAAAAAGCATCCAGGGAACAGCTTATGTCTGACAAGAGCCAGACAGGCTCCTTTCCCTGAAGGGTAAGTGTCTTGCACCCATGCACTCTGTATGCCTGAGAGAGAAATGCCTTCTTTCCCTGTGTTTCTGGCCTCTAGAGCTTTCCCCTCCAGGAGTAGCTTTTCCCAGCTTTCCTGCTGCTGGTCAGCCAGGTGCTGGGGGTTTCAGTCTGCCCTGAAGCAGCAGAACTCTCCCCTTTCCTCTGCTGCCAAGGACATGGAGCACCCATACTAAGCTACTGATCTTCTGGTGTGGGTTTCTTTCTTCCACTTTGCGCTAACTGAAGTCAAACCAGGTTTTTGCTCCAAGGACTGTCAATAACCAGGTGTTTTTCTGTTTTGGTAACAGGGATCTTTATACTGAGGTGACGAGGTGGGACTGGCCTGGTCTCTCTCGTGCTCACCACACAGCCTGACTGAATTGGACATCAGCTCAAATCTGGGTTGTTACACTGAATACCAAGAGGATGCTCCCTTTGGAAATAGGTCTTAGACTGTGGGACTACTTTGGCTCTGGAAATAGCACAGGATCTTCCCTGGCACTGTGAAATCAGCCCCCACAAAGGTGGTAGGAATGTCTTCGTTGTTCTGAGCTCCAGTTGTTAATGCTGATTCCCACCAGCGTGGCCTTGGACACAAAGATGTTTTTCTCTGTGAAATGCCAGGTGCTGTTCACTGGTTCCCTCCACTCCCAGCCAAAAGCCTTTTTTCACCTGCTCCATTCTTCCCCCTGGATTTTGTCAGGGAATAGGGGCTTCCTAACCCATTTCCATAGGAGCTCACTGACTCTGCACAGGCCAGACAAATATTCCATGTTTGCACTAGTGTTTGATGCTGCTCAGTTCCACAATAGGTGGCTTTTACTGACGGTTCCACCATGGGATGACAGTTAAAATCTTTCTGTTTGCTCTCGCTTTGCTGTGCTGTCACCTGGACCAGTGTGGGGCCAGGAGCTCCTTGGCCCCCAGGCAGGCAGCTCCTCACACACTCCCTCACACAAACATCTCCACTCTTTACTGACCTGCTCTGCCCACCCCGGTGCTGAACGCTGGCTGTGGCTCCTCTAACACTGTTAATGGTGCCTTCCTTAAAACTGTTCTGACATGAGTGGTGTCTCTTGGGGGTCTGTACTGGGGCCAGTGCTAGTCCATGTCTTCATCAGTGGTGTGTAGAGTGGGATCAAGGGGACCCTCAGCTAGTGTGAGGATGAGACCAGGCTGCAGGGTGCAGCTGGGAGAGGGGTTTGTCATCCAGAGAGACCCTCAGGCCCATGGGAACTTCATGAAGGTCGATAAGGTCAAGTGCAAGGTCCTGCACCTTCATCAGGGCAACTGCTGGAGAAGAGACAGCTCCCTGAGACTGTGCTGTGTCTTGTCCATGTCTAAAGGGGGGTTGTAAGATAGATGGAGAGAGGCTTTTCTCCAAGGTCTGTACTGACAGGACAGGGGGCAGCAGTTACAAACTGACAGAGGTTGGGTTTAGGTGGGAGAAGAGGAAGGAAGGTCTTATGGTGAGGGTGGTGAGGCTCTGGCACAGGTTGCCCAGGGCAGCTGTGGCTGCCCCATCCCTGGGGCCAAGTTGGACAGGGCTCTGAGCACCTTGGTCTAGTGAAGGTGTCCTTTGAAATAAGCCATGTGGAATAAGCCATGTCTTGGGTCAGACACTGTGTGTGGCACATGGAGCTCCAGCCAAAGGGCTCAGTGCTGTGTGTCTTGGAACTGGCTGTGCAGGGGCAGATTAGTGCCTGGTGCCCTTGGGCCACGTGCACCTTGCACAAATGTTCACTGAGTGCACAAAGCTGCTGCCTTGGCTGCTGAACTCTGTGCCTTGAGGGTGGGAACTTGTCTTGCCAAGCAGACACCAGTCATCAGCCTTGGAGCAGGGATCTTCCACTCCTGGATAGCGTGTGAGCGCTGCCATACCCCATGGGAGAAACTTCTAAATGTGGTGTGGAGTCCTGAGTTATTCCAGGGCTGCTATTTTTAGTACCAAGGAGTCATTTGCAAGGGCGCACAACCTTTCTGTTTCCATAGGGACAGGTGGAAATAGCTGTGGTAACTGACACAGGAGAATAAAGAATGTGAAACTAATGACTGCTGGAGTCTTTAATTTTCCCGGACTTGTGCATTTGCTTAAATTCTGTACTTGGGAGTTCAGGAGCTGCATCACCTTTGGATTGTCACATCCTGGGAAAGAGGACTCGTGGTGGGTGGGCTGGCACAGCCAGTAAGGGGGAGCAAGTGCTGCTGTTCTTGCCTGGGATGGACATGACTCCAGCATGCACCAGCTGTAGCAGAAAAGTGAAATACAGGGAGCAGAGTGAATGGAGAGGGTGGGGACAGGAGGAACAGATGACACTGGCACTAGGAGTGCTGTTGCCAAGCAGGGGACAAGTGGGGAGTTCAGCCTAGAACAAGGTGAAAAAACTGCCTGAACTTGTCCCTTCTTTGTCAGAGCACGGAGTGGGGAATCCTGCAGAGCGGGAAGGGCTCCAGGAGTCCCAGCAGGACAGGGCTGAGCTGGGGGCCACAGAAGTGCTGGTGCTGTCGGGGCCATGAGGCCAAAGTCAGCTGTCACCAGCTGGTCCCAGATCATCCTCTGAGCTCCAGCTGCCGAGCTGAGCCCAGGCTGAGCCTGGTTGGTCTGTGGTGTGGGGCAGAGCCCTTGCTCTGTTCAATGAGGAGCAAGGCCCGGAGGCAAACTTGCAAGACCTTGCAGGTTTAGTTTACTGCTCCCTGAGCCAAGTGCTTCAGGGTTGAAAGAAACATATTTTCTGGATCTTGTGCCAAAACAAGATCTATGTTTTGTGACAGCAATTTCCCTTCCTCTGTCTGGTGCCAGAAGTACTTTTGTTGTCCTAATCCCATGGCTCAGAAACTTCAATTGTAGTGGAGCCTGAGCTGGTTTTGGGCCAGGAGCAGCTTTGTGCTCCAGGTCTCTGTGTTTAATTAGACCAGTTCATAGAGATCAATGTGATCAGTTTTACATGTTGAAGCAAGGTCATGTTCCAGGGTAAGGCCTCAAAGATAAGCCTGTTTAATTTTGGTTCCCCTTTTACTTGGAAATCCAAAGGATTATTTCCTCCTTTTCAGTTCCAATAGTTCAGGGGAACTTTTACTGCCTACTTGCATTTTCAGTGTCCTGTTCCCTGTTCTGCCCCTGCTTGTGGGACTGGTGGGGCTGAAGGCTGATGTGATGGCACGGGGCAGAGCCACAGGAACAACCTGTCCCACAGGGGATCTGCTCGGGCACTGCGTGGAGACTGAAGTGATTCCTTCACCTCATCCCCTGTAAATCTGCGCTGTGGGGCTTGAGGGATGAGCTGGGAGGTCACGACCATCTCCCTTCTCTGGCTGTGACAGCTGACAGAGCCGGGGCAACTGCATTAGTGCTTAACGAAGGGCCGGTGCCAAGAGCAGCATCTGGTGTGGGGGTACAAAGCCTCTACAAATCCTGCATGTCTGCACCTTCCTGTCCCACCAAGGCAGGGCTGGCAGGGGTAAACTGAGGCAAGATCGTGCTCTTTCCAACTTGGTATCACAGATGTCCTTCTAGGAAACAGGCAGCGTGTGGCAAATGCAAACAGCTAATAAGAACAGAATAAGGGAAAAGAGAAGTGCAGGTCTGGAAATAGTTCCTTACATAAAGGACTAGTGCCTCAATCTCATTAGTGTCTTAAGGAGCGGGCGCTTGGCCGCCTCCGACTCCTGCGACGCGAACCACAATCTGATCAGCAATCGGCTTTGGGACCCTGGCAGGTGCCACGTGGCACCAGGACAGGGCAGTGCCCCCCGGGCAGCCGCTCCACGGCTCCTCCGAGCTCGCAGCACTCATCCCAGCCAGCCTGTGCCCGGCGGGAGCGTTCCCATGAAGCCAGAGCTGCTGTCCCACGGCCCCTAACAGGAGTCCCGGCTTCCGAGGGCCAGGCACCATGAGGCAGCTGGTGACCAGGCGTGCGAGTCTCTCGGCCAGCCTGAAGATAGGGGATCACCAGGGCCGCCGGAGGACCCTGGAGGAGGAGGCACTGCACATCCCCTTTGCGCAGGACAGCCTGGTGAAACAATGGAGCTCCATGCAGAACGTGGCAGAGGGAAACGAGGAGAGCGAGACTCCCATCCAGAGGAACAAGTACCTGCTCAACATTAATGTGGGCGGCAAATCGTTCCAGATAGCTTGCAAGGTGCTGGCCCAGTATCCCATCACGAGGCTTGGGAAGCTGGCCCTTTATACGGACCCTGAGAAGAAGATGCAGCTCTGCGATGACTACTTGGTGCAGAAGAACGAGTACTTCTTTGACAGAGATCCTTCAGTTTTCCACTACATCTTCCACTTCTACCGCAGTGGGGTCCTGTGGGTGATGGACGAGATGTGCCCCAGTAACTTTGTGGAGGAAATCGAGTACTGGGGGATCCATCTGAAATACTCCCAACGCTGCTGCCGGATTCTGTTCGAGGAAAAGCAAGATGAACTCAATGAGTACCTGAAAATAGAGAAGGAGCTGGAGGCAGAACTGGAGCCCCTGGACTCGGGGAAGCAGTTTGATGGCAAATTTCTGGGTGGGTTTCGGAAGATGATCTGGAACCTCATTGAGAACCCGTACTCTTCTGTCCCAGCCAAGATCATTGCTGTCATGTCGAGCTTCTTTGTGCTTATCTCCATTGTGGGCATGACACTGAGCACAGTGGAGGAGATGAAAAACAAAACAGGGAAGATGTGGATGGAGCAGATGGAGATGATCTGTGCCATCTTCTTCACTTCTGAATACCTCATGCGGCTCATATCCTCCTCCAGCTTCAAGATCTTTCTGCGGGCAGCGTTTAATGCCATAGACCTGGTGGCCATCCTGCCCTTCTACATCCAGCTCCTCTTTGAAAATCTGGACGAAGCAGACACGCTTTACCACGAGGAGCTGCACAAGGTGGAGAACGTGAGCAAGCTGGGCAAGGTCCTCAAGCTCATCAAGCTCATGAGGATCTTCCGCATCCTCAAGCTGGCGCGCCACTCCACCGGCCTGCGGGCCTTCAGCTTCACCATGCGCCAGTGCTACCAGCAGGTTTGCTGCCTCCTCCTCTTCATTGCCATGGGTGTCTTCACCTTCTCTGCTCTCATACACTCGGTGGAACATGATGTCCCCGGCACCGACTTCACCAGTATCCCCTGTGCGTGGTGGTGGGCAGCGGTAAGATGTGCACAGCTCCTTCCGGAGGGGTGCGGGGGGCTCCGTGGGTAGGGGCTGCCCTGCTGCTCGGGGGATTCACCACTGCTGCAGGCCAGGGGGCAGGAAGGGCTCAGCCCTTCTACCAACCCAGTAATGGTGGGAAACCCAGAGCCCTGCATGCTCTGAGAAAAGAAATCAGAGGTTGGGACCGAGCTCAGAGGCTCAAAAGCTGGTGCTGGGGTGGGATGGTGGGACAGAGGTGGTGGCCTAGGAACCTCCAGGCCTGAGTTACTGACAAGGGGAATGTGACTCAGCCCAGGCTTTATCTGTCCTGGGACCCAAGTGTTGGGTGGATGCGGTTCAGCCCCCATGGGTATGGGGGCAGCCACTCAGGGCAGTCTGAGGCTTGTGCAGTATCACAGCCCAGCTGGGCTTGAGAGGTACAAGGGAGTTGAGATGGGGGACCCAGGGCTGCATGTGGGACCCATGGTCACATTATGCCTCGGTCTGTGTCCTGAGAGAGGACACAGATTGGGGTGTGCTGCCCCTGTTTGCTGCCCTGCTTGCGCCTTGAGCCAGCAGCTCAGCTGAGCTGAGCACTATAATAAACCTGGGATTGACTCCGAAATGGGGAGTATCTAAAGCACTTAAAACCCAGGGGTTACAAGGGCATTTTGATTTACAGATTAAATGATCCCACGGATCACTTCTGCCCTCTTGGCCACCACAGATTGCCTGCTTCAAATCCATCCCTCCTCAAGGAAGGGCAAAATCACTCAGCAGCATCACCAGGTTCGAGCCTTTCAATGTCCCAGGCCGAGCCTGTCCCTGGGAGCACAGCTCCCTGCAAAGCCCAAACCTCTCTCCCTCAGCTCTCACCTTGTCCCCATAGCCCTACTCCCTGATCACCAAACGTGGTGCATTTCTGGGCAGTGCCTGCTTCCCTTGGATGGAGGCTCCAGGAAGATTTGTTCCTGCGGGACTGGGCAGTTCCCGGGCGGGAAGCCATGGAGCCGCAGCTCGCAGGGGCAGGAAACTGCAGCAGACACTGACTGCTGGGGAGGGCTCAGCTCGGGGTGTCCAGCTGGCCTGAAGAGACACATGTGAAGTGGGAATGGAGCAGAGAGAGGTCTGACCTCTGATCTCTGCTCTGGGGCTCAGCCAGCAGCACTCCACCCTTGTGCTCTCCAGGCCTCCCGGGCGCAGATCCCAGGCTGTGGAGGCTGCAGGAGTGGGGACAGCTGAGCTGGCTGCTGTCACTGTGTAATGCTGGTCCAGGTGACACCTGGCTCCCACAGAGGGGCAGGCAGGTGAAACCCAGCACCATCTGGTGGGGTCTGCTGGGCTTGTTCCCGTGGGATTTTATCTTTTCCCGTCCTCACACAGGTCAGCCTCTCCACCGTGGGCTACGGAGACACCGTGCCTGACACAATACTCGGCAGGATGGTGGCATTTGTCTGCATCTCCTTTGGCATCATCCTCAATGGCATGCCCATCTCCATCCTCTACAACAAGTTTTCTGACTACTATGCCAAGCTGAAGGCTCATGAGCTAAGCCAGTCACAGCAGCTCTCCAGGAGGGTCCACCTGAAGCAGCGAGTCCTGCGGAAGCTGTCGGAGTGCTGGAGAGCCGACCCCCGCTATCACCGCTGACCACAGGCCCCCCACCCCCCGGACACCCCCTGCCCTCTGTCCTGACCAGCAGGTCCTGTCCTCCAGGGAGGCTCTGAACCGTGGGCAGTGAGTCACAGAAGCGTGCAGGGCTCTGCAGTTGCACAGGGACCACTGCCAGCTGGGCCCCCTCCCTGCTGTGTGCTGGCCACTGTCCTGCAGAGCCATCAGTCAGAGCCACCCCTGGAGCTGTCTCAGGGCAGGGTGTCTGTGTGTCTGTCTGCATGGGCCGAGGTGTGGGGCACCCTGGAATCACAGGGA